CTGGGAGTTGAAGTCCACAAGTCTAAAAAAATTGCTGCCTCACCAGCCATAAATCTCACCGCACGTCACTGATCGGTACTAATACTGTACTGTACTGTAGCACCAATAAGGTTAACCTAGTTTGGGTAACAAAACATCTGCAAGAAAGCAATTTAAGTTTGGAGACCGCTAAGGACTCCTCAGTTCAGCCCCGAAGAAGTAGAAATAGTCTCCTTTATTATGATAATTTTTGCTTCTAAATGGAAAACTTCCTTCTGTGCCGATTTAGGAGTTGCTCATGGAGAATTGCTTGAGCTGGCGAAATACCATTTTGGCAACTTGCCGTCCATTAAGAAAGAAGGCGCCCCAGTTTTGCCCCCTTGCCAGTTCACCGGCAGTGAAGTAAGTGGAGGTTGTTCTCTTCTCAAAGGGGCCTGAGACACATCATCTTCCTTCTTTTAACGACCCCGTAATCCCTTTTTGGGGTGGGGTCTGGGCAACTGAAGGGAGCTAGCAGAGTGTTTTAATGGCCGGATGCTCTCCTGTCACCATTGCGGAGTTTTGTTCAGCAGGTATATTCTCATGGTGCCCTGAGAGACAAATATATAACTCACTGTCTCCTGGTGCTTGGCCCACAAATCACCCAGTAGTTTTTTTATACCTGAGGCCGGCGTTTGAACTCATTAGTCTCCTGGTCTCTAGTTCACGTCATGTTGTTTTCTGCAAACTCCTACATTACTATATCCTTAACCTTATTGGAGATTGAGTATCAACTTTTAGCCACCCCCATAGATCCATTTTCCCTAGCGGCGTCTGTCTCCCATCTGGGTCGTAAGGTCGCAAGTAATGTGGATTACTGCTTCATTGATTTATGGGAACAAAATTGCAAGTTTTCATATTCATTCAATCAGGAAAGCGGGTGCTTTTCGGGGTGGCTGTGAGGTTCAAGTTCCGTGGCCGTTTTGTTCACGGTATTCCTCTGTCCTGATTTTTTTTAAAAAAATAATCTTTATTGGCTATACATTTTTTTAATAAGACATACAAATACAGCTTTAAACATACAACGTCCCCCCCCATGACAGTCATTCACAGCCCAACATTTTTTTCTTCCTCATTGTTTAGTCTCTA